AAGGAATACACGAAGGTATGTTCACCAGGAGGTATACTTGTCTGTGTATATATGCCGAGTTTAATCCGTATCTTAGGGAGTAATGTCTAACCTGGTGAAGAGGTGACGTGCAGCCTAAAGAGGATCTTGTACAGCTGATAGGTTTTAAACCCTATGAACCAACCTCATCCTCCATGTTCCAACTCCATCCTCCATGTCCCTCGCCTCATCCTCCATGTTCCCACCTCATCCTCGATATTTCCCACTTTATCCTTGATAGACAAGCCTCAGGTCCAGGAGCAGCGCTCAAGCGTGCCTTCCTCGCCTCACTGGTAATCTTTGCAACACCTGTTACACGGTGCAACAACACGGTGCAGCAACACGGGGCAACATCCTCCGTGTCTCCAGCGGCGCGCAGCCGTGATAATCTCTTCCAATTCCTCCTTTGTTTCAAATTTCCACCTAAAACATAATAGCTATTCTAAAATAAGCTTTTTTGTCGTCCTCGTTTGTGAGTTTGGGGATTCAACGAGGAAATTCCGGAGTAAGAACAAAACAAAAGCCTCGCAATGGCCGGCAGCACCCGACAAGGGTCGTTTCCCGGCCCTCCAACACAACCTTGAACCCAAGAGATCTTAGTTAAGACTTCTTCAGTCTGAGAATGAGGTAGTAGGGGAGGCATACTCTCTATATAGAGGTTCAGTGTATGTAGGATACGGTTCAAGACACCGGGAACCAATTGCAGTTTAGAGTAATTGGTACCTGGGTGTTAGTCAACTGGTGTGGGTGGCATCCTGGGGGGGTGGAAGTATACCTTAGATAGGGCTGGGCTTTGAAATGAGCTGGGGTAGGGTAACAGCTCTTAGCCTGTAAAACTGATTTGTATGTGAAAAAAAAGACCGGTGGCGCAAAGATGACAATTGATGAAGGACGACGTGATTGAAGAGAGGAACTTTACTGAGACTTCGCCTGTGGACAAGCTTCTTCACTGACTGAAGGAGCATAAGCACAGGCGAAACGTCTCAGTCAAGTTCCTTTCTGCAGCTGTGTTTTTCTTTCACCAGTTGTAGTATAAAGGGGTCCAGGAGTTGAGCCTCGGTCCCCGACGAGTACAATTCATTGAGTATACACACAGTAAACAGGAGGTGTGAAGAGGTAGTCCCTGTGGAAATGGGAACAATGGTAAAGAGCAGATAAAAAAGGTACGACCACGGAGACTGGAGAGCAATACAACAGCAGATGCAGCGTAGAAGTTGCTAAGAGAACAACACTAAGTAAAACATTATGAGACTTGGTAACCTGTCTCGCTGGGTTTTGGAAAGGGGAATAGAGACGCTGTGTGAATCAGATCACGGAACAGGTGGGGGTTGAACCCATGGCAAGCGAGTCCTAATACTCACAAGCCAGTGCGTTAACCACTCGGGCCAGCTGGCAATTATGTTATTGCCACTTCACGAGTAACTGTAAGAAATCTCCAACGACTTGTTAAAATCACAGCACCTTCCCGGAGAGAAGAAGGAACAGCTAACGTTGTCACAGTACACAAACATGAGGACAGACAAAACTGATCTACTAGCACGACCCACATGAGGCTATATCAATTTCTTGATTAAAGCCTCGTGTAAGTAAACCATTTCACTAATAAAGTTCTCCCTTTACTGTATGTTATCTTTTTACCACTTGTCGACTAGTCCGAACTTCAACTACAACACCCAGCTACATACAGATGTAAATGCCATACATATTACAGTAATAGAGAAGATAATAAGGAGAGAGGAAGAGCGCCTGGAGAGGCAGTGTACGACCAACCAGAACCATCGTGGGTTTACAGAACCGTATCTTGAGAGGCAGTGTGTCACCAACGAAATAAACTTTGGAGTTACTCAAGTTAAAATCTGTCTCACATACTGAGTTCCACGACTTTGTAACATTTTCAGCAAGAAGACTTGGATGAATTCCATATTTCCGAATTCTAAGAATGAATACCCCTCAAGGGAGGTTCCTTGACGCTGGTGAGGGGCTCTTGATCTAGGGAATTGGATCTGTGCTCCAGGTCCCTGAATTAAGCCTTAATAACTTCCATCCCCCCACATGCGCTGTATAATCCTACGGGTTTAGCGCTTCTCCGTGATTGTAATAATAATAATACAAATTAATTAGGTATTTTATATCATATGAGGCTAATCCACACATTAGAAGAGGCAGGAATAACGGGGAAAACAGGCAGGAATAACGGGGAAAACAGGCAGGAATAACGGGAAAGACGGGAAGGAATAACAGGAAAGAAAGGCAGGAATAGCTGGAAAAACAGGCAGAAATAGCAGAGAAAAAGAGGTAGGAATTACAGGAAAGACAAGTAAGAATAACGAGAAATGCAGCGGGAATAACTGTAAAATCAGGCAGAAATAACGAGGAAAACAGGCAAGAATAACAAGAAAAAAGAGGCAGAAATAATGGGGAAAAACAGGCAGGAAAAACATGGTTAAAAAAAAAAACTGGAATTATTGGATTCAATGAGATAACTGGATCATGTCTCTTCCGATCGTCTTCAAACCTTTCTCAATGGTGTGTTTTGCTCAAGAGGTTTCCGTCGTTATTGGGCCACATTAATCCCAATTTGCTGATTTTATAAAACAAATTATTACACCAATTTTCGTTTAATACCTGGAGAACGCCTCTTCCGATCGTCTTCAAACTCTTAGCTCTAGCGTATCTTGCAGGAAGCTTCAGTTTGCACATTTCACCCTGGCTACCAGGCTGAAATATTAAAGAGATTGTGTTTTAGGCCTATTACACAGTTCCATTGACCAATTTAAGAGATATTTTTATCTAAAATCTACAAAAAATTTCTATTAAGCTTACTTATAAAAATAAAATATATTTTTTACAACGCTATGTTAAGTGACACACAGGAAAATAACTTGAAAAACCTCAATAACATTTTCTTACAATGCTATGTTGAAGTACGTATACCTGGAGTATACCTGGAGTATACCTGGAGTATACCCGGTGTATACCTGGGGAGTGTTTCGGAGTCAACTCCCCCGCGGCCCGATCCATGATCAGGCCTCTTCTCACACAGGAAAATAACTTGTGTGAGTTTCACTAAGATCGGTTTATTAGTTCCCATGATATAAAGGGGAGATCAACCTTCTTGAAAATCAGTCTCCAAGGCGTCTGATGACAATAGTTTCACAGGGTCCGAGATCATTATAGTTTTCTCCGGCCAAATTTGAGCCGGTAATTTAATATAGGGCTCCGGCTTACCTTGTGGGGTCGCCTGAACATTTTTTTAAGGCATAATCTGAGAACGGCTTTTCCGATCGGCTTCAGATTTTCAGCATTGGTGTATAGTAATTATTGGAACAGTCGAAGTGTTATTGAGCTGCGTAGGTGCCAATGTGCAGATTTATACATGGAAATGAGGCAGTGGGTTACGTGTGGTAGCGTGAGAACTGGCTTGCTAAAGTAAGGCAAAGTTCAGAGTTGAACATGTTCGCATTTCTTGTTCTTTACTTCGAGGAACAACGTGTATCAGCACCTATTAACTGTTGCCAAAGATTGTTTGTTGTTGCTTATACTGCACAGGCAAAAATAATGTTAAGAATATTTAAATTAAAACCCTATAAACAAAACTTTATAATACAATACTGTATATATATATAATATTGTATAAATACAACACTGTGTAAAAACTACTGAAACAAATACAATTACTAGTGTTCTGGTGTCTGAAGGAAAGTGGAACAGGAGGGGATAAGAGCACGGAATACAAAATACCCAGGTTGAACAAGAACAGACTCTTGGCCAGAAGAGACGGTCGGCAAACGGAGAACATGGATGTATTCCATGAAGCGCTAAACCCGTGTGGGCTCGTTAGGGATTCTTGTGTCAGTGTGAGAGTGGTAAAGACGCGGGATGATTCGAACCACTGAGCCCCACATGGGTTAACTCACTCGTACGATCAAATCTGCTTCACATCAGTCAACAGAAAGCTTAAGAGACGAGCCCAAGAGCTGGAAATCAACCGAAACCAACTCAGAGTGGTAAATACAAATTAATAATTAAATAATGATAGTCACAATAATGAGTCAGAAACGAGTCATACTAGAAGACAATGCGGACGCGTCTGAACATCGGGACAGTTTTGTTTCTTCTCGCTCATTTGTGACTTGATGATGGCTAAAAACAGACCAAAAAGTCATCTAAATTTCCTGTTCTAAGTGTGGGTTATTTGTAAACAAATATAACTGCAGACACACATACAGAATTAAAGAAAAAGACGAAAATGACAAAGGTAATTTATACAAGATGGCCTCTGTACAAGGTAGCTATTACGAAGCTTTAGCATAACTCACATCAGAGGCTCTCCTAGTCTATGTTATGCGACTAACCCAACACAATAGACTCGATTAATACCTAGATACCCAGTTACTGCTGTTATGACTCACAAAACAGTAACAACACGATTACAAACACACCTCGGAACGGATGGGTCTAAACCTCACCCGTTCCGTGGTTAGTTACTGCTGAATAATCAGGGGGAAATAGGTGCACGTGCGGGCAAGTCCCCTTATTCCCAGTGGCCCAGTTCTCCTTCCCTGGGTACAGTACCCAGGAGAATATAGGACGAGATAACTGGGCATAGGCAGGGCTGAGGGCGTGGTCGCGTGGCTGGAATGGGTGGAGAGGAGGAGAGTGGGTACAAGGATAAAGCGGAGGGGCAGAAAGGGGTGTGGCTAGCTGGAAAAGGATGTCAAACTGGATGTAAACAAATGCCCTCAATAAATCCTAACGACACCCACATCATGCAGCAACATTCTAATGAGGCGTAACATTCTCACCTATTAAGAAACACATGTACCATTCTGATCTGACATTCACTAAATGCACACCCTTTAAATTACATCATCTAATTATAAATAAAGGTCAGTAGCAGAGAGAAGTATCGCTAGTGTCAATAATTTCAAAGTGGCCGCCATGCACTCAGCTGATGACATGCAGATCACCATGGTAACGGGGACGCTCACGGCAGTGTAAACAAACAGTTGCGTCGTCTGTTGTACCGTTAATTCCGGAATAAACAGCTGTGTAACAAACAGCAGCAGTCGTCTTATGCAAAAACTCCGGCATGCGCTGTGAGAAAAGCGTAGATATGACGTGAGAAGAGACTACGGAGCTGGTGTTGGATGTGACAATGCTTGCTGAGGGAGAATGGAATCAAGGAAAGAGAAGGACTGTAACTTTGTGACAGATCTCACTCTGGGTCTGGTTGACACACTCAGTAAGTGGGTCTAGATTTGTTGGTGTAAGTCTGATAGTGAGGATGATGGTGTTGCTCTGGTGGTGATGATGATGCGAAGGTGCAGATGTGATAGTGAGGGTGTGATACTTATAGTGAAGATGATTGTGGTGGTGTTCTGAGTGTAATATGGCAGTTCACAGAGGTATACACATGTGGCATGCAAAGAGTACGTAACCTTTATTCGGCGCATGTACACACCCTCATTGAAAGGCTATCTCCCCCAACCAGCGAACCAGTACTAGGGTCGAACGATGGGGCCCCGTCGTTCGATTAGTACCCAGGTTCAAGCCAATGAGAAGATGGTTTTGGCAATTGCAGAGGTGTTGTGGGTACCACTCACCTGTCTGCTCTTGTCATTCCCATTCTAGAGCTGGTTGAAGCACGGTCTGCTCTCTGGTGGCTTCTATTCTGCCTTGCTTAATGTGGAGTGCACTAATACCTATTGTTGTACATAGTGTATATAGTGTACATACTTCTGTTCTTACTTGGTGAAGGATAATATAAGTCAAAAGTTTTTCTGCTGTGTTCATTTTGCTCCCTTTACACCCAGGATAACAAGCCTTTGAATTCCTGGGTTGAAGATTGAGACACTTATGCAGCATATGGGAATCTTTATTCAGGAAACGTTTCGCCACACAGTGGCTTCATCAGTCCAATACAAAGAGGAAGGCGTAAGGAGAGGAGGAGTATGAGGTAATCAGTCCCTCAGCCTGGAGTCGGTGTTCAGTCTATCAATCTTGTAGAATGTACAGCATAGGGCCGTAGACGTGGCTTATATACTGTAGTGAGGTGAGGTGAAGCAGGCGGAGGCGGGGTCATAGTGGTACCATCCACTAGTCGAAGTAGGTCTTCGTCCAAAGGTTGAACAAGTGTTGAAGAATTCTTTGTAACAAGATCCCATGATGCTGCAGTGTCTGACAGTTGTGATGAATGGTTTGAAAAACCGACAAGTTGAAGATTGAGACACTTATGCAGCATATGGGAATCTTTATTCAGGAAACGTTTCGCCACACAGTGGCTTCATCAGTCCAATACAAAGAGGAAGGCGTAAGGAGAGGAGGAGTATGAGGTAATCAGTCCCTCAGCCTGGAGTCGATGTGTTCAGTCCATCAATCTTGTAGAATGTACAGCATAGGGCCGTAGATGGACTGAACACATCGACTCCAGGCTGAGGGACTGATTACCTCATACTCCTCCTCTCCTTACGCCTTCCTCTTTGTATTGGACTGATGAAGCCACTGTGTGGCGAAACGTTTCCTGAATAAAGATTCCCATATGCTGCATAAGTGTCTCAATCTTCAACTTGTCGGTTTTTCAAACCATTCATCACAATTCCTGGGTTGTAATAACACAAGTGTATCCCTAAGGTAGCGTGGATGTGCTTCACGTGGCGCGGATGTGTTTCAGGAAGCATTGATGTATTTCAGAAGCCTTGGCTGCGTTTTAGAAGGCTTGGCTGCGTTTCAGGAGGCTTGGTTATGTTTCAGGAGGTTTGGATGTGTTTCAGAAAGCTTGGATGTGTTTCAGGAAGCTTGGGTGTGTTTCAGGAGGCTTCGTTATGTTTCAGGAGGCTTGGGTGTGTTTCAGGAGACTTGGGTGTGTTTCAGGAAGCTTTGGTGTGTTTCAGGAAGCTTGGGTGTGTTTCAGGAAGCTTGGGTGTGTTTCAGGAGGCTTGGTTATGTTTCAGGAGGCTTGGATATGTTTCAGAAAGCTTGGATGTGTTTCAGGAGTCTGGGTGTGTTTCAGGAAGCTCTGTCATGTTTCAGGAGGCTTGGATGTTCTTCAGAAAGCTTGGATGTGTTTCAGAAAGCTTGGATGTGTTTCAGGAGGCTTGGTTATGTTTCAGGAGGCTTGGATGAGTTTCAGAAAGCTTGGATGTGTTTCAGAATGCTTAGGTGTGTTTCAGGAGGCTTGGGTGGCGTGCAGGACGTGAGTGTAGTGGTGCGGGGAGGCGTGGAACGCGCCTCTGTGGTAGCGTGGGAGCAGCGTCACAATGTAGTGCTACCGCCCGCCCTCAGAGCCTTCTACACAGCTACCGACGGTTTCAAGCTCACCTGGAACTACGCTACTGCCGGTAACCACTGCCACCTGTCGCACCTAAGTAGGTAACGCTCCTACTCCTGCACCTACCTAGGTAGCGCTCCTTCCCCTGCACCTACCTAGTAATGCTCCTTCCCCTTCACCTAAGGTAGAACTCCTTCCTCTGCGCCTACATTCCAGTGTATACTCCCCCTGCTGGGGAGTATATACTCCAGCAGGAATATATACCTCAGCAAGGGGAGTATACTCCCTCTACTGGGGAGTATACTCCCCTTGCTGAGGTATATATTCCTGCTGGAGTATATACTCCCTACTGGGGTGTATACTCCCTCTGCTTGGGTGTATACTCCCTCTGCTTGGGTGTATACTTCCCCTGCTGGGGTGTATACTTCCCCTGCTGGGGCGTATACTCCCCTGCTAGAGTGTATACTCCTGCTGGGATGTATACTCCCCCTGCTGGGGTGTATGCTTCTCCTGGGGTGTATACTTCCCCTGCTGGCATGTATACTTCCCCTGCTGGGGTGTATACTCCCCCCTGCTGGGGTGTATACTTCTCCTTCTGGGGTGTAAACCCTCACCATGGGACACTAAACTTTGCTTTCCCCCCAGGTAAAGTACTACCACTGGGGAATATGGAAGTTCACCCACTGGGGAGAGTCAACAGACTAGGGAGTGGCAGGGGAAGCGGCGACCCCCTGGCCCCTTCCATCACCGACCTGGCCCTAGCAGAGGACCCCCCAGCTGCTGCTCCCCTGGAACCTGCCCCCCTTCGTCCTGGGGGGGCGGGAACCCCCCATATCCCACCCCCCACCTTCCACTCCTCTAAGATGTTTGAAGTCGATACTTGCCAAGGCTACGGTGAGTAATTATTATTATATTTTATTAGTTTTATAATTATTATTATTATTATTATATTTGTATTATTATTACTTGCTCCCTACCTGGAAATACTATTATTATTATTATTATAATAGCGACTGAAAAATCAGGTTTGATCCGAGGCAGGGAAGGTTAGCTGTAGTTCCTCGGATCAAGGTCCCTCTTCAGACAAAGCTTCACCTTCAGACTGCCTCTATTTTCTTCCCCCCCCCCTCCCTCTCTCTCTCTCTGCTCTGCACTTAACTCAAATTCAACATTTTCTCGCAGTGACTAAAACTGATGCCTGTTGACACTTCCAGAATGCTGCTGTAAGGATTAAAGTAACCTTGACTGGTGGTGTACAGGTGCTATACAGCCTCACTGACCCTCGTGTAGTCGATATTCTTTAAACCATTGTATACACAAAAGAATCTCTCTCTTCTGTGTATACGCTAATAGCAGCAGTATAATATATAGGCTTGGAGGCGTGTATGTCTTTGTATCTAAATATTTTAAACTTGAATTCCTATGTTAGACGGGTAATGAGCCCTTGACTGGTGGACTACGGGTGATATACAGTCTTAATGAGCCTCTAAATCCAATAAACTAACCACGCCTACTGTCAAGCCCACTCTAGCCTAGTTCGCCTTCCCCCGAACTACAGGTCGAGTGGTGGTATCGTACCCAGGACGCGGGGAGACCTTCCCAGAGGGGTCGTACTGGTTCATCGACCTGTCCCTGCGTCCCCATCTGTTGGCACTCGACACCCACACATACTGGCGTCTCCTGCTGGCCCACCTGGGCATGCCCCAGTGGCAGGCACTAGTGGCAGGGCTGGGACTCACCCCTTGGGCCAGGGTATGTCACTACGTCACTAGTATTTATGATCCTTAGCATATATTCTGTAATATCCTATATTTTATTAGTAGGCACCTAATTATCTATTTCTTGGTGTGTTTGTATGTACCTAAATATGATCGCAAGGGAAGTCGAGTTACATTTCCTGGGCCAGTCTCTTAATGTTGTTGTCAACTGTTAGTTTCTTGGATTAGATTAGGTCACAGCTAATACAAATACCAGGTCAGGACTCGCACGAACACCAGGTCAAAGCTCACAATAACAACACTAGGTCAGAGCTCACACAAACACCAGGTCACAGCTAACACTAACACCCCTGATATACGCAGCAGTGGTACGAAGTGGTAGCTGGCTACCTACTGGATGGTCCCAGACCACCCAGGGTCTCCCAGGCCCAGGAACTGGTCAACAAGCTCGACTGGTCTGTCTTCAAGAACAAGAAGACACACAAGGTCAAAACGGTCAAGGACTCCCCTAAGGACGCCGCCAAGGACGCCAAGGACGCCACCAAGGACGCAGGAAAACAAAAAGAGTGAAACGGTACAAATAAAAACTGCCATTGTTGTACAGGACTAAATAAATATATTACACCTACTTTCTTGCTGTTGTTGCTACTTTGTTTTAATTGTAAAGTGTTTGTTTAAGTGTTTATGTTAATTAACTACTAATCCAAAGTACCGTGACTGGAACAATACACACACACACACACACACACACACATTATATATATATATATATATATATATATATATATATATATATATATATATATATATATATAATATATATATATATATATATGCAGAACAAGCCACGTAGGGATGGGACATCTTTAGCTCAAGATCTTTTTCACTCTCATGCGTCGTCAGGAGCTATGCAATGTTGCAAGACAGCAACAGATAGGAAGGTAAATTCTCTGAGATAATTTCATAACCCAGACGTCATTTTTAATAAAACATTAATTTCAACATTTGCTCTCTGGTTGTGAACAATATACTTGAGACAGACCACTGATGTGCATGACTACAGTGGAGTGTCGTAATCACGGTCTTCCATGGTTCTCCTCTAGTGTCGTAAGCTTCACTTCTCTTAGTTTCTCTTCGTAGTTGTGATGGGGAGAGAGTAGGGGTTCAGTGTCGTGTTTGTTTTAACATGTTTCGTGTTGACGCTCCTAGTTGAGCAAACCTCATGGGCTGGGAATTCATTATTTTGCAGCAGCTGGGAGAGTGTGGGAACACCCAGGTGAATGTGGGTACCATTTTTTTTTATTTTCCTCTGCGCTGTGTGCAGATTGTACAAATACATACACACACACACACACACACACACACACACACACACACACACACACACACCAGTGAAGAGGTGGGGCTAGGAGCTGTGAATCGAACCCCTGCAACCACAAATAGGTGAGTACACACACTGAATTAAAAAAAAATTCTTGAAACAATAGACAGTGTTTTTTCCCCTCGGTGTTACGTTCAAATTTTACAGATGTTTAAAATTGCCGATTTGTCTGGCGAATCAATTTTTTTTTTTTCACAGTTGAATTTACAGGTTATCTTACCTCAGTTCACTTCAAAACCCGGCTCTATGTGAGGTATACTTCCCTCCCCAGGATACCACCCACGCCAATCGACTAACATCCAGGTACCTACTTACAGCCAGATGAAGCGGGACAGCAGGTGTAATGTGACTAGAACCCAGGTACCTACTTATTGCTAGGTGAAGTGGGACAGCAGGTGTAATGTGACTAGAACCCAGGTACCTACTTATTGCTAGGTGAAGTGGGACAGCAGATGTAATGTGACTAGCACCCAGATACCTACTTATTGTTATGTGAACAGGGACAGCAGTTGTAAGGTGACTAACACCCAGTTATCTACTTATTGCTAGGTGAACAGGGACAGCAGATATTAGGAATCATGCCCAACTTTTCCACCCGTGCCGGGAATCGAACCACGGCCCCCTCAGTGTGTGAGGTAAGCCACCAACTCATTCTGTAATCCACATTGTATCTATAAACTCAAACACATGTTTAATCAAGTTGTTTTATGTTAAATTTATAGGTTAGAGGAACCATTGTATATCATATGGAGCGCTAAACCCGTGTGCATCATTCAGCGCTACAAGTGGTGGAAACTCGATCCTCCGTCCGCTAATACTGTAGATGTAACTGGGATATACACATATCAAGCTGTCTTTAATTCTGTTTATAGTTAAGACTAGGACAGTAAAGCAGAAGGCTCTCTCCCCACCATCCACTCCCTCCGGTCAACTCACTAGCTGGAATATGATGGATGACGGAAGCCTGTGGTGAGCTTCAGAAAAACTTGTGGGTCTTCTTGAATATCGTTGCATTACGAGCTAAGCTCTCAATGTGCGTTTTAAAAAGAGATGCACCGCACATTAAAATTGATCTTCCATATTTAAATTATTATAATTCCCATTAGAACCTAACATGCTGGCTGGTGCGCTTGCTGCCAGTCTTCTCCGGCCCACCCGCCTGGAGTCCTGACGTTCCTTCCAGTACTTAAAGTCTTCACGCCAGTGCCGGGGAGGGAAGAGTGGTGAAGAGTTTTGTTTTCCTGGAGACTTTTGCTGCAGGAGAGCCATGTAGAAGCGCTGGAATATTCAGCTGGAAGAGTGAGAGAGTAGGCAAACAAATGGTGGACTTCCCAGTGTGGTGTTTGTTCTTCTCATGAGAGAGAGGGAGATATTGGTGGTTGTGTGCTTGTGTTTATTCTCACCAGGGAAGATGAGTCGCTTTTTCCTCTGATGTGTGATTGCTGGGTGTTATCCTGTCGACAGCTGCAGGGAACAACACCAGCTCGATAGCTAAAGGGAACAGCATCAGTTCGACAGCTGCAGCTAACAGTATCAGCTCGACAGCTGCAGGGAACAGCAGTATGTCGATAGAAGTAAGGATAGCTTCATATAGGTTCGATTTTCAACAAGTTATATACGTGGATGAAACATTCTCAATCACGAGAGAAAACACATTCTTTGAGGAGGGTTTAACAGCTATAATGATTGTAGATGAATGGTTCAGAGGACCGACACGTTGATAAATTAGACACATGTGCAACTCTTGGGTATCTTTATTGAGGAAACGTTTCGCCACACACTGGCTTCATCAGTCCATACAAAGGAGAAACTTGAAGCTACTGTGTGACGAAACGTTTCCTCAATAAAGATACCCAAGAGTTGCACATGTGTCTAATTTATCAGCTATAATGAGTGTGAGTGCTTCTGGTTAGGACCAGGATGTAGTGAGTGTGAGTGCTTCTGGTTAGGACCAGGATGTAGTGAGTGTGAGTGCTTCTGGTTAGGACCAGGATGTAGTGAGTGTGAGTACTTCAGGCTACGACCAGGATGTAGTGAGTGCTTCAGGCTAGGACCAGGATGTAATGAGTGTGAGTGCTTCAGGCTACGACCAGGATGTAGTGAGTGTGAGTGCTTTAGGCTACGACCAGGATGTAGTGAGTGTGAGTGCTTCAGGCTACGACCAGGATGTAGTGAGTGTGAGTGCTTCAGGCTAGGACCAGGATGTAGTGTGTGTGAGTTCTTCAGGCTACGACCGGGATGTAGTGTGTGCTTCAAACTCGGACCAAGACGCAGTAATCACTTGTGGCGATGTTAAACACCTCGACTCCTACCATCAACCTCAATGTCGCAGACTCGCCACAAAATTATCTTCAAAAAGTATTTTGCCACAAAAGCCGCACATACATAAGACACTAATTAGAATCGTATTAACTGATAATAGACTACATGGATTTGTGTATTCCAGTAGATTATAGGGAAGTATTTCCTGCAAAGCTTATAAAACAGCCAACACTGCCATTTATACCCAGAGGTGTAGGCCTTTTAGTGTATACAACAATATATACATTTGACCCTTATGTAGCAGTCTACTGTTTTAGAGGTCAGCGCTTCCTTGGAGTCAACATCACTGGTAACTTATTATTGTTAGATAAGGTGTCTAATGTCCCTGTTGTATACCTGTTCCAATTTCAAAAGATCATCGCCCCCGCGTCGCGGCCTCAGACTAGGACTTCTAGTTGACGGTCTGGTCATTTAAGGTATTGGCGGTAGCTGCTCGCAGTCCAGCGTAGGTATCGCAACCCAGCTGATCAGGGATGGAATAAACGAGCTTGTCATGTTCATCTTGAAGACGGTCAAGCATCTTAAAATTCCTTGGACCTTTTATATTTATTGAATTATAGGCTTGTATACGCATTATAGGTTGCATATGTATTGTAGGCTTGTATATGTATCGTAGGTTTGTAAATGTAGGTTTGTTTATATATTGTAAGTTTGTAAATATTGCATTAGGCTTTCCGCTGCTTTCGTAGAGACTATTTACAGTGTGCGCATTTGGAACCAGTTCCTTTAGCATTTATCAGGTATAAATTATCGTGTTTCTAACCGGTGTAACAGAGTGCACGTTAAGTGACTTATATGTTTGAAGTCATACGGGCAGTGATAATTCTTTGTACACTCTCTAGTGTGACTTTGTAAATGGTCCAAGTCGGAGCGGAACGTCGTCGTGAGCTCCTCTGTCATATGTGCGGGTTATTTGTGTATTGTTCCAGTCACGGTATTGTGACGCTTTGTTCTTTGTTCTCCACGTCTGATATTCAGACCTCCTTCAAAGGAGTTGTTAGTCTATAGCAGTACTTCATCTTCTGTTTTGAAGGTTCTTGTTATCCATCCTACCAGTTTCTTTGCAACTGTGATTCTAACACTGTTGACTTCATTTAATGTAAGATATTTCAGGAGAGGGCTGAAGGAGGGCCGGTAGAGACCTAAAAGACGGCTTAAGGAGAGACGGAGGAGGGCTGAAGTAGGGCTGATATAGTGGTGAATTAGGGCTGGTGTAGTGGTGAATTAGGACTGGAAGAGAACTGGGAGACGACTGGGAGACGACTGGGAGACGACTGGTAGACGACTGGGAGACGACTGGGGGTAAGCAACACGCGGGTCAGGGTAAAATTTGACACGTGAGCATTGAGGCACAAGGTGTAAGATGACAGTGGCAGGTGGTGGGCGGCGGTACTGCCTCTCACTTCCAATTAGTGAAGCAATGCTTCTTTCCTGATGTTTACATTGATTGTTGTGAGGCTGTTGACACAGTGAATTTATATAATGTTTATATGTATACGTTTTTATAAGTATACATCAGTACTTAAATAATTTATTTTACAGGGTGTTTCAGAACGATTGTACCCCCCTGTATCTGTATACTGCTTTGAAATTGAGTCCAGCGTTTTGAGACACTCTGTGACCTGGTCACAGACCGGGCCGCGGGGGCGTTGACCCCCAGAATCCCTCTCTAGGTATACTCCAGGTATAGTTCGCAGTGCTTGCTATTCGTGAGGATAACTCCGTAAATCCCCACCCGTTCCGTGGTTTATTTCTCCTGTGTGTGTGTGTGAGAGGTCATCCTGAGAGATGGTAATTATTAAGTCTGATGGACTGATGAGGCATTTGAAGCTGCCGTAGCTGGTAAACTTCTCGTGGTATACTTGACGATATCCTCG